GTAACAGGTTAGTTCTGTGCATGCCTGCAAGCCTTGTGAGGAAATGTTATTCCAAGGAGTACTTGATACTTGTTTGCCCTCAACAGAAATGTGAAAACCACGACCCTAAAACATGAACAAAACAGCTAAGATTTAAAGTTACATGCATTAGCAGGTATTGTCACTGCTCTATTGCATTATCAATAAAAGAATACATTAGAAGAGGCAACCAAAAAGGATTCTTCTATCAGATTGGACTATTGTTTAGGAGATAAAATGCTCTCCGCACTTCAATGATGTGAATGAAGAACTATGTTCAGTGATTGAAATGGTTATTTATGCTAACAAAAAATTTTATATGCCTCTATAATTGAGAAAAGAACAAGAAATGAATAAAGAGTTCAACATAGTCTGACCTGATCAAAATTTGAAAAGAATGGTAATGCTGTAGGATACTTTTGTACAACACCCCATGATTTCTCAACAAGAGACCACCAACTGGAAAACAAAGTATGGTCAAAACAAAGTTTGAAAAAAATGTTCATGTAATTTGGCAAGGTCAAAATTTTAATTCATGAATGTATACCACACTGCCACAAGAAATTTTCTACAAAAAAGATGGTGAAGTAACTGCAAGGTTATAATCCATAATTACACAGAAATGCTATGAAGCAGGTAAAAATATTACAAATTAAAACGTACAAGATCAGTAAAAGCATATGAAAAGGAGAACAGCAAAATATTTATTACCCAAAATAATAACCAAAACAGTAGAGCACGATACAACAAAGCTAGGAAACAAGAGATAAGTGTCTTACTGATTTTGAGCAGTCTCAAAATCAGGGGGTTGTTTTTTCTCATAAACCCACCCAGGAGCAAATATGGCAGCTGACACTGCATCCTTCTTTATCACATCTAGTGCAACATTTGTCTGTTGCAGAAAGAATTGTTATACCAGGTAAAAACTCCATTCCATCAATCAAACTCAACAGATAATTTGATGATTAAAATAACAAACTCACAATTGTAACTAAAACTCTATTCAAAGCTTGATACAAATTATTACTTAGTGTTGCATATATCAGTTGACAGTCCACCCGGATTTTGCACTCGAGTAAAGATATATCTAATAAGCAAGGAGTTCAAATCACATTATCTCACCAGTAGCAAAGTTCAATAGAGATATGTAAAGGCTTCCCCCCCACCCCAAAATTTCAAGCATATTTCAAATGCATAATCCCTTTATTTAAGTACGAAATAAAAACAAAAGATACAACCAGCCACTACAAATGACAACATATATTAGAAATTAA